GTGTGTGTGTGTGTGTGTGTGTGTGTGTGTAGCATCTGCCAGGTCGCCTCAAAAACTCACGTGTGTTGTGTTTCCACTGTCACATGTCAACAAGACACGTTCCTAAACCGAGAATACGTTGGATGCATGAACCGTCTTTTAATTAAAACATGTATCTTTTACTCACAATGTGGTTTTTATCTTCTCATTAAGATGCAACAATAATATCCTGCTGGTGGAATGATGATGATGATGATGATGATGATGATGATGATGATGGGGCAAATGATTGCAAAGTATGTGCCAATGTGAATCAGATAATAAATAAATAATAAATAATAAAGGCAGGAAGAGGGAATCCGTTTCAGTTGTTCAGGGTTAGTCAGTTTTTTCTCTGTTCAGTCGCTGTGGAGGTTAGAAATCTTCTCCTGGATGGAGCAGCCTGCCAGTGAGGGAACAGCGTGAGAAAACCACAATTAGCACCTTGATCTTGTGCTGGCTCTCCTGTTGACGGTGGAAGGGCACAGAAGGTGTTGGGAGTGCAGCGCTCTGCTGAGGCTGCCGTTTGCAAACTGGGTTCATGGGTGGGGTTGTGTGTGTGTGTGTGTGTGTGTGTGTGTGTGTGTGTGTAGTGTGAAACGATAATGTTATCATTTCTCTTTACTTGTAATTGTATTCCCTGTGAAGCAACTTAGAGTAAGCAATAGATAATTCCACAGCATGTTTGACATTTTTCTATTCCCATTTTTTCCTCACACTTCTTTTTTCCATCCACCCCTCTACCCATGATTCCACATTTCCTCCCCTCTCTTTCCCATGCTTCTTGTATGACGTCTTCTCCTCTCCATCCTTTGGTTTCTTTTTGTCATCTTCAACCTCTACTATTCTTGCCTCCTACCCTTTCCCACATTTTCACCTCTCACTCAACAATCTTTCCCGCTCTCTCACCTGCTCATCTCTCATCCTTTCCACTCCTCTCTCACCAATTACCCTCTCTCTCTCCCCCAAACTGTCCTATTCCTGCAGACTCCCTGCAGCATGTACTGGGGGAGTATGGACTGGTGAGGCCAATCAGTGTGGACGCAGAGGGCCGCTTCCTGTCGCACGCAGTCTCGGCTGACCATATGGCAGGAGGGCAGTCCCGTAGGCGCCGGAGGAGGGAGGTAGGAGCAGGCAATGATGAGTGGGAAGGACCAAGAGGAGTCGAGGAGGACCAAGAGCCCGTGGGCCGTCAGGAAAGACTTTACTACAACGTCACCGTCTTCGGCCGGGAGTTCCACCTGCGTCTGCGCCACAACGCCAGGCTGGTGGCCCCCGGAGCCAAGATTGAGTGGCATGATGACAGCGACAGCACTCGGCACTCTGAGCCACTGCACGATGAATGCCTGTACGTGGGTGACATCACAGACACACCAGGAGCCACCGTGGCTATCAGCAACTGTGACGGCCTGGTGAGTGAACAAGCTGTGTTACCTGTGCTCTTATCTCTCCGGCTCGTGTTCACTGTGTTTGCTGTACAGGTGTTTGTGGACGGAAGAGAATGGAGAGTCGGTGATGAGTGTCTGAGTTTGTTGGGGAACGTTGTGTTTGAAATACATACAACTACAGCAAGAGATTTGTTTGACCCCAGAGCTCAGAGGTCATCTGCTCTTCTCTCTGTCGTCCTCCAAACTGGTTCTAACAGCGGGGCTGCCGTGAGGAATCCCTGAGTCATGTTTTAAACCCTCTGTCCTCTGCCCCTTTCAATTTACTCATGGAAAAAGGGAGGAGTGATTATGAGAGCAGCACACTGATGTTTCACACTCTGTATGACTTCATCCCAGCACAATGCTTTCAGAATAACACTTATCTGATTTCAGACTGATCCATTTCAGCCACAGTTCCACGCACCACAGACATGTTGTTTTTTTATAAATTTTGAATATGTAATAATTTGGATTGAAGCCTATTGTATACATTTATAAATTGATGTATTAATTGATTGGTAATTAAAA